AGGTGCTCGCTTTTTTCTCGCTTCAGTCATATTCGCTTCGCTTGGTGTGCTCAAGGGGAGATGCCTTCGCTTAGCCTCGCTTCTCGCCTAGGTGAGCTTTTCAAAACGATGATGTTACCTGTATCACATATATTATCTATCTATTTCCTCATTGGGATACTATGACATTTTTATTTCTACCCAAAATATGATATATATTATAGTTATTCGACTCTTTTTCACGCAAAGAATTCATATTTGAGGTCCATTTGGAATTTTTTAAAAATAACCCTTAATTATATTGAATCATAATTGATGATGTAATTAATGTGTTAACTATCAATTTATGTATAAGTCGTCACACCTGGGGTGTGATTTTGTAATTTTTCAGAGGCAGTTTTAGAGTTTGGTCTTTTTAGATTTCAAACCAACTACTCTGTTTGACATAGACATGCTAATTCTAGATACATTATACTGGTTGTTTATGTGCATGATATTATAATTAGTGGTAATGATTTTGATGGTATGGTAAAGCTAAAAGTTTTCCTCCATGACCATTTCATATTAAAGACCTAGGCAAATTTAGGTACTTCTTAGGTATTGAAGTTACCAGGTCTAAGTAGAGTATTTCTTTGTTTCAACGAAAATATGTAATTGACATGTTAGCGGAAACAAGTTTAATAAGTGGTAGACCAATTNCTTTGTTTCAACGAAAATATGTAATTGACATGTTAGCGGAAACAAGTTTAATAAGTGGTAGACCAATTGATGTTCCTATGGATCTGAACCAGAAGTTATTGATGGATGATATTGCATTATTTGAAAATCCTAGTTGTTGTCGCATGTTGGTTGAGAAGTTAAATTATCTCACTATTACTCGACTAGATATTATATATGCAGTTAGTGTTGTGAGCTAGTTTGTGGGATGCCCGAGAATACCACATTAGGATTGATAGCATAGCCATAGGATGGTTGGACCAACATGACCCAATTTAGAAGCCTTAGGCAAACTAAGAGTTTTTGGTCTATAAAAGGAAATGTTCTTGGTAGATTTGTTAGAATTTTTATTTGTTAGTTTTATCTTATTTTTAGTTAGATAATATTTATTAGATTGAGATTAATAGAGATAAGTTGATAGAGTTTTAGTAGTAGAGTAGTTCTTTTATGGTAGGACACTTGGTCTATAAATAAGGATATATTCCACATTATTTTAATCAGAGTTGAATATTAGTTTGCGAATTCTCTGCAGAGATTTGTGTTTCTTACCTAATCTTTGTGAGGATTTGGTATCCCTTTTCTTTCCCTTTCCTCTTTGCATCAATTGGTGTAAGAGCAAAATTCTGGTTCGTAGTCTTATCCCAATCTCGTGTCCAAATTTCTGCTCCTTCCAATTTCTAATTTCTAATATCCTCTTCCTTGAATCTGTTCATCAAAGCTTGAAACTTGGTTCGAAAGCTTTGAACTGGTTTACTGGTGTTGTTGCCGCAAGTTTTGTGCATCATTATCATCGACAACTAGCCCTTGTGTGGGTTGAACTCACCCATACGAAAAGAAACTTTACTGCAGTTTTCTTTTTCGACAACGACTAACTCCTTTGTTGTCATCTTGATCCGCAGGAGATCATATGGTGGCTGACATCAATATTGTCCCTAACTACTATAGCTAGGGAGGGATTGCTTGTGAAACTGCAGAATTTCTTTGCGAAGAAGGGTTTAAAACTCTTGGACCTAGAGGCCCACATAGCCACATTAATTCTAGACCTACTTGACTCATCCCAATATGAATAAGCCCAAAATCCATCTTATCTAGCCCCAAAAAAAATTCCCACGATTTGAACCAACACCTCTAAAATTACAAAAAAAAACCCCAACAACTTGATAAAATTATAGTTTCACCCCTGAAGTTTCAAAAATTACACTTTGGCCTCAACATATTTGAAATTTCAGTTTGGCCCTTGAAATTTTTGAATTATAGTCTCTCCAAGTATCAATGGCCTCAATGAAAGAAACGGTGGACATCTTACCCTCTCTTAAGGCAACGATGGATGCCTAGGCAACAATGGATGCCTTGGCAACCCTTGTCCTAGATCAAAAGGACAAAGGAATTGAGAAAAATATTGTTAATTGTTAATTGTTCAACAATGGATGCCTAGGCAACTACTATGACTCATTACTTTGTGCCAATAAATTATAAGCAACGAGCTCATCTATAGTTGACACAGTTGAATCAAGGAAGCATGTCTGTCGAGAATTACATAGGAAAATTCTACAGCTTAGCCACCCTATCCGAGTTCCTATGGATTAGATGTAATAATGATCGCCTTGTATAGGCAAAGGCTCAATTTAGAGATTTCTTTAGGGTTAGTTGCAAGTCGTCTTTACACTATGGCGGATACAGTTCAGGTTGTCTATTAAATAGAAGACGATCTGAAAAAGAGGGCTTCTCTAAGGTCTTCTAGGATGTCTACAACTCAAAGTGATAGAATTTTTGTGGATGCAAATCTAGGTAAGTCATTGGATAAATCACAAATAGTGTTTTTGTCCCTAATAAACCACCTAGCCTTGTTGTTACTTCTAATTTTCAAGGGGATGTTAACCTTAATGCCAAGACGAGATGCTTTAGTTGTCAAGTGTTTGGTTATCTGTTTTTCCAATGCCCTACAAAGGTTGTTACAACAATTGAAAAGGAAATCCCCAAGGAGGCTAAAGAATCTAATCAGTCAGATTTCCAGATTCAAGTTGTAGAGCCTCTTGATGTTAATGAGACTAATTTTGATAATTTGATTGACGGTCATTTATTGGGTGTTATTCGTCCGCTATCTGTTAGAAGTAATGTTACAACTAAGAAGCCTAAGTGTCGATGGAAAAAGACTCCATCATAAATTACTCGAACTATTTCATCAGATGGTATTCTTGGCCATCCTCCTTACTTGTTGGAGTCGAGTTTCTTTTAAAGTGGGAGAATTGATGGCTTAGCCATAGGATGGTTGGACCAATGTGACCGAATCAGGAAGCCTAGGCAAATTGAGAGTTTTTGGTCCAAAAGGAAATGCACTTGGTAGATTTGTTAGGATTTTTATTTGTTATTTTTATCTTATTTTTAGTTAGATAGTATTTATTAGATTGAGATTAATATGGATAAATTAATAGAGTTTTAGTAGTAGAGTAGCTCCTTTGTGGTAGGATACTTGGTCTATAAATAAGACTGTATTCCACATTATTTTAATTAGAGTTGAATATTAGTTTGAGAATTCTTTGCGGAGATTTGTGTTTCTTGACCTATTTCTTGTGAGGATTTAGTATCCCCTTTCTATTCTTTCCCTCTCCGTATCAGGGATGCGATTAGAATGGAAGGTTTTATAGATGCCGATTGGTCTAGTCCTCCCTCGGATCGAAGATCAACTGTTGGATATTATACTTTCATGAGGTAACGTTGTTACGTGGAAATGTAAGAAATGAATAACGGCAGCATGATCTAGTGCTAAGGCTACATATAGGTTGATGACACATACCATTAGTGAGTTGATATACTTACAACACTTCCTTCAAGAGATTGGTTTTCTAGTCCAGCTTCCCTTAGAGTTGTTATGTGACAATCAAGCAACTATTCATATTGTTGCTAATCTGGTATTCCATCAGAGAACCAAATATATCGAAGTTGACTGTCACTTTATTTGAGACAAAATACAAGATGTAAATATTGCTACACCTTTTGTGAAATGTGAAGATCAGCTTGTAGATATGTTTACCCAAACATTGAATCGTAGTCGACTTATTGCGATTTGTTCCAAGTTTGGATTATATAGTACATAAACTCCATCTTGAGAAGAAGTGTTGAGAGTATTATTAGAATATTATATTTTAGTTTATATGAGAGGGTATACTAGTCTTTTATGTTTTCTTTAGATAACTATAAATATAAGTTGAGAGGGAGAGGTAGGGTATGTGACTATTCTCCACCTCTCTCATATTGGTTTTCTCTTATAATTGTTCTCTCTCCATCCTCTAAATCTAATAGATCAAATGGTGCAAAGTTGTTAAACTTTTATGAAAAAGGTAATACAATAGCTTTTGCTAACTTGCATCCACTATAATTTGAAACGTCATGACACTCTAAATTTCTCAAATTACCAGTAAAAGCCAAAAATTTCAAACATAAATGAGAAACATGACTAAGGCAGCAACATGTAGCTCTTCCAACACATATAATCCTCTTTTTCTATGGTTTGTCCCAATCAGTTTGTTGGACTGTGAATCTTGCACAACACAACTAGAAGAGAGAACAGACCAAGAATCCAGAATTAAAAAGTTAATTGGCTGCGATTAAATTCAAGGTAAACTGGGGAATGTAATAGACATGTCGAAGAGTAAGTTGGGAAGAAATAACAATCCCAATACTAGCCAAAGACATTTGAGTACCATCACTAGTCATATGGTGTGTGGCACTAGAGTCAAGGNCTACGTGTCCGTGTTGTATCGTATCCATTTGTCGTGTCTGTTGTTTTTAGATATGAAGAAAGGGGGAACAACAATAGAGATTCGATAAATAGCATCTGAAGTATTCATTGTTCTATATTGCCTAGAAGTCTTGGGAAGAGTTTGGGTCCGTGTGCATGGTCGAACCACTTTGTGGTGGATTTTTATTCTTTTGACTTTCGAGAAGTTTGAAATTTATTGTGAACAGTGTATAGCTTATCATGGTTGTTCAAAATCAAATTGGTGGTCTTTTTTATGCAATTAACAGGTCTGCATGATTTTCTTGTCAATGGTTATTAACAAAGAACATTATTGGACTTGGGAACCTGCCTGACTATGTTGTACGGTGCCCAAATACCTAGCAGAAATTGATAGGGAAAATAGAATATATAAAAGAAAGGAAAGAAGTAACCAATTGTTCACATCTGAACATAAGCACCAGTCAGCAGCATGTGTTTTTATTCATGGGTTATAAACTCTAGATGGGGAATGAAACAGTTAAAAATACAGTTGATTGTTTTGCAGGTACAAGGTGTTGTCCAAGACATGAATGGGAAGACAGTGGCAACTATTTTTGGGAAATGGGATGGGTGCATCCATTACATTGATGGAGACTGCTCTGGAAAAGGAGGGTTTGAATCAAAATCAGATGCTCATTTGCTCTGGAAGCGGAGTCGGCCTCCCAAGTTCCCCACAAGATATAATTTCACACGCTTTGCTATAACATTGAATGAGCCCACCCCTGGACTGAAGGTGACTGTGCTCGTGATTTTATTACCATTTTCAACTAAGTTCTATTTTTCTTGTGCTAATTTTGCTACACATATAACTAGTGAAAATGAATATTTAATTAGTATTTATCAAAAATGGCATAAGGATACACACAAAATATGCGGGTCAATTAGCCAGTTGTAACTATTGCATGGATGTATTGTTTTCTGCTTTCGATCACAGTGGTTGGTTAAAGGTCCATGAGTGATTCTTGCATAACTTTGGCGCATAATTTTTGCAATATTTTCTTTTACACAGGAAAAGCTACCACCAACTGATTCAAGGCTGAGACCTGATCAAAGGTGCCTTGAAAATGGGGAGTATGAAATGGCAAATGCAGAGAAGCAGCGGCTAGAGCAGCGGCAACGGCAGGTAAGTCATATGTTGTTTTGTTGCATTGTTTACAATTGAACTCTGGAAGCAAGCATTTGGTTGCATAAGCTACAATGTGAATTTGCTAAAATGGCATTTGGGTGGTGTTAGTGTTGGCATTTTCATGATGTTTTCCAAGCACATGGCAGGGACTCTATTCTCACAACCAGTTTTATGGTTTGAGATTGAAAAATTACCACATAAATGAGCCTCTTTCAAGGACTTGCTAGACAATTAAATTGGAGAACTTCGATGATTGAATGCTTCAATCTTGACCTTACAATAGAAAGCTCCAACGCATGGTTACTAGAATTCACTAAACTCATAACGACCCACGATCTAGGTACATTGATCTCAAACGGGATGGGTTCGCGATCCAGATCACCACAAATTGTACGATCCCAAATTGTAATACTAACCCTAAATCAATTTGCATTCGAATATGTAGCACAAATATAAAATACATATTAATTGACTACATGCATACAAATTTATAATTATATATTGTTTTAGATATTAGAAAATCAAGCAAAATATCAAATAAATGATTACTGATTCAGTATTTATAGATGTTTTATACGATGTTGTATAATAGTGAAAACAATCTAGATAAGAGTCCTAAAACGAATTGCGACCCAAAATAATGTATCAGTTAAGCTTACTCCCATCGTACCGCATACCTAAGAAAGTGTTGTACCGTGTACCCGTGCCCGTACCCGTACCACGTACCCAAGCAACCCACGATCTAGGTAACCTTGCTTCAACGTTCCAGCTCTTAACTTGGGAGAAGCATCAAGCAAGTAGATTGAAATTGTTTTAACAGATTAACAAGGTGCACATTTTGTAACATGTGCCATTAAAGGCCACCTTCATAAATAGCATCATATTTCGAGTTACTTATTGTAGATCTCACTTAACTTTTGATTGCTTGAAGATGACACGGATAAGTCCATCCTGCAAGAATGTGCATGTAATGTATCAGTGTACACTGATCTTTATTCAGAGCAAGTCTTGGCATCCTCATTGTTGGAATATTTTTCTTTCACATTCGTAAATGTTCTGAAAAGGTTCTGAACATTGATGGTAACTTACTCAAATTCCAATTATTCAATTTCAGGCTAGTAAAATGCAAGAGAGGGGCTGGAAGCCACGGTGGTTTGCAAAGGATAGAGGAAGTGATATCTACCTCTATGTTGGTGGTTATTGGGAGGCTAGAGAACAAAGAAACTGTGATTTTTGTCGTGATATTTTTGGTCATATTCCTTCTGATCAGATGTTGGACTGAGTAAGCGTGAATCTAGCTTTCCCCCCTCCCCCCCCCCCCCCCCC